GGTTTAGATATTTTGACCAACTTTTTTTTTCCTTCTCTTAACTTGTTTTAGATGAACATATGATTTCTAAAAGAAATCACATTGGAAATGGAGGGGTTTTGGAGTTTTTATGTTGATTTTTGCATCTTGTTTTGTTGGATGTAGAAGTGGTAATTATGTGTCAAGCTAAACCATAATAAAATTGGTATCAATTTTAATCGGTTAACAATACTGTACCGAGTATACAAATTTAGAGGTTGTTTGTTTATCTCTTAATAGTTTCATTAGGCTGTTTGGCAATTGATGAATGGTTTGGTGTTGAATGATTAAGTGGTCAGAATGATTAAGAGGCTTTTATGATATAGTGCAAAATGAAATATAATTGTTTGGTAATTGTGTACAATGAAATTAGGGCTTTTAATGGTTATGGAAGATCCATGATACAAAATCATTCAGAGGGTTTTGGAACCATTAAGAGACAAATTTTTATTTTGCCAAACGAGATTCATCTTTTAACGATTCAGTTGTTACCTCTTAATGGAACTATTAAGAGATAAACAAACAACCTCTGAATCGTTAAGAGGTGAATCATGTTTGGCAAAAAAAATGTCTGTCTCTTAATGGTTCTAAAACCCTTTGAATGATTTTGTATCTTGAGCCTCCCTTAGCCATTTAGCGCCTAATTTCATTGTAAACAATTGCCAAACAATTATATTTCATTTTGTATTATATCATAAAAACATCTTAATCATTCTGATCACTTAATCATTTTGTACCAAATCATTCAACAACTGCCAAACAACCCTAAGTAGTATACAGTATTAGAAGTTGTGTATCATGATAGTACCGTGATAATGACTAATCTAATTATTATTGGTTTTTGAATTTTTTATGTATTGCATATATTAAACGTTGCAAATTTTATTATTTACAATTAAAAACCCTTAAACAACACATGTATTACTTGAAAACTCACAGTTTCACTCCAAATTTTAGCATAGTGGTAAGGTTTCATATATGTAAATTGAAGTTGATACTAAGTCAGTAGTAACATGTACCGACCAATAAAAGTTGATATCAAATATATTTGATTGGTGCATGATATACCATTTTATATATCAGTTATAATTAACTGGTGTATTAAGGAAAATAACTTAGAGGTTGTTTGTTTACCTCTTAATAGTTCCAATAAGGGGTGAATCTTGTTTGATAAAAAAAAAATTTGGCTCTTAATTGTTCTAAAACCCTTTTAAGGATTTTGTATACTGAGCATTCCTTACCCATTCAACGCTTTAATTTTACTCTTAACAATTATCAAACAATTATATTTTATTTTGCATCATGTCATAGGAACCTCTTAATTATTATAACTACTTAATCATTTTGTACTAAACTATTCAACAACTGTCAAACAACTGTCAAACAACCATTTATACCGTAAAAATCCACCCCTAGTTTATGGTTTGAAAAGGTGGGCCCCATCTTTTTTTTAATAAATAAAGTTTAGTTACTTGTATTATTTTGTAATATTAATTATTTTATTGTGATTTTAGTTTTAGTTGTATTTCACAAATGTTATTGTTATTTTACTTTTCATTATAAATTTAAAAAATATATTTTATATAAATTAAATATTTCAATTTTGATTTATATTTAATAAACAAAAAAATTGTGCATGACTCATTTATGAAAAATAGGAAGTTTATAAATTTATAGAATGCTCATTTAAGATGACAAATGAATAATATGACAGTATTATGAAACGAAAAATTACATAAAATAATCATTTTATACACAGTATATTAACAAAATTATTATTTTTTGGAGTTTTTTTTTTTCACAAAATGGTCATCAAAATCGCCCCTGTATCTGATTTTTGTCTCCCTAAATGATATACATATGAGACACATCCGTATCTTATAGTCAAAATCGTCCCAAGATAGTCAAAAGTCATTTTGTGAAAAAAAAACTTTGAAAAGTGATCATTTTGTTAATGTACAGTGTATAAAATGATTATTTTGAGTAATTTCCCTTATGAAATTATAAGCATATTTTTTACCCACTATGCCCTAAATGCTTTGTTTTGGTTCTTTTTCTCACCATCAAGAGATATCTCAGTGTCAACAACTTTCACATCTTTTATGAATAAAACAATATGATTGATTTTTTATATCAGTATTTGGTTCAAATAAATCAAATGATGTCGTAAATACATACCATGTGTATGAAAAAGTTACTAAAAAAAGTAAACTCCATTATCTGAAACTTTTTGACCGTGCTGGTTTCACAATCATTATGGATGAAGTAAATCAACAGATACATCACATTGGACAGAGGAACATGCCCAAGCTTAAAGTCGAAATGTCACTCATATGAAGTACACCAACACCTCTATTACTGAGACGAATAATCAGTAATTTTTTGCTTGAAAAATGTTCTAATGTTTGTTTACAATGCTTTTGGTACGCAGAACAGGATGAGACAGTACATAACATGATACACTTGTCCCATGTTTGGCGTGTTCTTATGCAGAACATGGGACGTGTTTTCACCTTTAGGTTAGAGGTTTCATTGGGAACAAATAAATGGTTGAAAAAAAAAGGAGAAACTTGCAGTTAATGTATTTCTGTCAAAAGTACAGGGGGGTAAATTGTTAAATTATAATTCTTCATCAACTAAAGGTTCCTATTCCTCGAAAAACCCTTGAACCACCTCAAACCCTAATTTCTTTCAGACATTCCGACCGACAACAATATATAATCACGGTCCGGCATACCCCATCTCGCCGGAAATTTACTATATAGTGTTCCCCTTGTCGTCGTCTCCATGGAAATCGACGGATTTCTCTATGAAACGCTGTCCCCTCTATCAACCACCGGCGTGTCCATTCCCGCAACCCCACCGCCACCTGATCCCGTATCCTCCGGTGACTCCGAACCAAACCTTGTGCTGCGCAATTATATACCTATATCTTCGAATGATACGCCCTTGCCGGAAACTACTGCTCCGGATTTCTTCTCTCTCGATGTTGATGCCGATGACGACGATTGGAGAACTCCGACGCCGCCGCTCAAACGTTCGCGATTGGCCACTCCTTTGGCGGATGAAGAACCGAAGAGAAGCCTTGAAGCTGGTTGGTTTCGTGGTAATTGTCGGTTTAAGAGCCCCATGCTTCAGCTTCACAAAGGTATTCTTCTTTTCCTTTGTTTTTAATTTGATATCTTCTGATTGATTAGGTTTACCTCTTTAGTTCAATGTGATTGTTGGTATATTTTTCTACTCCCTTCCAAAAATGTCGAATGGGGTATCTCTCATCCCCAATATTGAGTGAATTCTAACCTTTTTAAGATAATTTTGTGAATTACATTCAATTCTGTGTTGAACTACTGCAAATAGAATTGTTTTGATGTTAAATTTGCATACAACTCCATACTAATTGTTTTGGGAAAGCTTGAACACATTCTTATAATGATTTTCTTCATGAGCTTTGTTTTATTTATGTATGTGTGCAGGGTTTTATCACACACATTGTTCTCTTGATGCAAAACTCCGGAAAACGGTTCAGTTTTAATTGGTTTGGGTTGTAAAGTATATGCACATGCATATAAGTTTGCTGTTGTTATAGAATACCCCTATCACTTTTCACCACAGGAACAATTATGCAAGTTGAAATGCGCGAAAGAAGAGTAGCATGCTTCATTATTAGAGTTATCTTGATTTCAGTAATGAGATGTATAAAATCTGTTTTTTTCTGTGTAAAGTTTATTTACACTCTTAGAAATGCAGCTTGGTCTGTTTGTTAGCAGCTTAATGAGCTTAACGGGACTCGCAACTTATTTGGTCAGATATACATGAGTGTTTGGTAGTGGCTTAATAATTTAGAAAATGACTTATTCAATAAGCTTTTAGGGGGGAGCTTTATGCAGAAAGCCAAGTTTTTCCGAACTTGCCCCTCCCAATTAAAACACACCTTCTCTCATCTTTGAAAAAACTCCCAAACAAAAATCTTTCCTATCTATACAGACAGATTAATCCACATAGACGGCTTTATCCATACAGGACTTAATGGAAAACCAACCAAACATCCCCTTAGCGATGTCTTTCTATGATTATTGTGGTAAAAAGCTATCGTGGCTTGCTATTAACATCTGTATTTGCAGAGATATTGGATTTCTGTGACTTCCTCTCTCCAACTTCTGAGGAGCAAGTGTCACGTAACACAGCTGTTGAGGGTGTTTCAGATGTTATAAAGTATATCTGGCCTAAGTGCAAGGTACACATGTTGATATGATGATATGCTATATATATGTATTTATGTGCTAGAAATTGGCACGTTTTGATGGTATAAAATTGCTTTGCAGGTAGAAGTTTTTGGTTCGTTCAAAACCGGTCTGTTCCTGCCAAGTAGCGATGTGGATGTAAGACCGTCTTTTCTTTTAGTTAATCATTGGAACATATATTTGGAACCAGTAGTTCTCGAACGTTCTATTAGAACTTATGTTTTCTTGCTGAACTGTAGATGGTGATACTAGAATCAAATATTCGAACTCCTCAGATGGGTTTGCATGCTCTCTCTAGAGCTTTATCACAAAAAGGTGTTGCAAAAAAGATTCAGGTACTTTTACAATTTGGTTAATACATCAACACTTCCATCAATCATTCGTCTAATTTATATGTATGGATATATTTATGTGAAATAATATCAGGTGATTGCCAAGGCCCGTGTGCCAATCATTAAATTCGTGGAGAAAAGAAGTGGCATCTCATTTGATGTAAGGTTAGACAAGCATACTTTTTTGACGCCTTCTGTTTATCCAAAAAAGAACAAACGAATGCTTTGGTGCCTGCGTATTTGCATATGTTCTTTGGTTTTTCGTTTCGTATTGTTTTCATTTTTTGGATTCATATTTTTTATTCTTAGAGTGATAATTTTTTCCTTCTCGACAGTTTTGATATGGAAAATGGACCAAAAGCTGCTGAATATATACAGGTTTGTTCAGACATCTGAAAATTAGGGGCTGCTTGGTTGATTTTTCATCAAGTCCTGTATAGATAAAGCTGTTTGTGTGGATTATTCTGTTGTATGGGCCAGGAAGGTTTTTGTTTGGGAGGGTTTTCCATAGATGGGAGGAGCGTGTTTTTTAATCGGGAGGACAGGTTTAGAAAAAAACTTGACTTTCTGCATAACGCTCCCCTTTAGAAGCTTAGTGAATAAGCCACTTTCTGTATCACTAAGCCACCACCAAACAATCATGTATAACTGATTGAATAAGTTGCGATTCTCATTAAGCTTATTAAGCTGCTAACAAACAAGATTTTATCTAATATAATGTTCTCAAGTACCAACTTTTTAACGCACATTTCTTCCCAGGACGCTATTTCTAAATGGCCCCCTTTAAGGCCGCTGTGTCTGATCTTGAAAGTTTTTCTGCAACAACGGGAGTTAAACGAGGTGTGTGATACTTTTGTGGTTTGTCTCCAATAATATCTTTCTCCAAGTTTATTATTAATCAGCTGTTATTAGTGCAGGTGTATTCTGGTGGGATTGGATCATATGCGCTTCTAGCTATGTTAATAGCAATGCTGCGGGTACATATTATAAAGCATTTACCACATTGGTACTTGTTTCAATTCTAATTATATATAACTTTTTAAGTTAAGTAGTCTCGTGTACTTAATTTCATGTCACTTGCTCACCTTCCGGTCTGAACCTCCATCTCTAAACAAGAAGAAAGATGGTAAGACTTTAAGGTGCGTTTGGTATCCGGAACAGGATGAGACAGGACAATACAAAAACTTCTTGTCCCATGATCGACGTAACATTAAACTGGGACATGATTGGTAAATTACTAACCCACCAATATCAAATTAAAATCCTAAAACTGTATGACGCCAACATCAGTTGGGGAGGGAATTAAGGTCGCCTTACAAGGGACTGGATAATGGATATATCCCCTATCAGACGCTTTTTAAACCGTAAGTCCAGGTGTGGACAAAGTGGACAATATCTGTATGGTTGGCTGGGGATGTTACAAAAACCTTCCTAAATTCTTTCATCCACCTACTTCACTCTCGCCCATCCAGTTTCGTCTGCATACTAAACACATCCTTTGATATCGTGTTCCTATAGAAAGGAGCCAGGGAGGTATGGACAGGTGATCTACTTGCCTATCTCAAGGACCAATGAAGTTGGACTTTTTATTTATTTATTATATGGTACAATGTTTTTGACCAATGGAACACCAATACAACTCTAGTGATCCTGCTGAATGTGAAAATTTCATACCGTACACCTTGCTGGTATATCCAACTTCTTACCTGATTTTGGTCATAACCATAGAAATTTGGTTTCAGAAGAGGGAATTTTAGAGAGGAATGGAGGAAGTTCTTTGACAGAAAATTAACAAAGAACTAACGGAATAAATAAAGACATGCCCTGAACAAATAGCTTGACATCGAGGTCTTGGATAAACAAGTCTATTCCAACCCGATATTTGAGTATGGTTATGCTTGCATTTATGTTGTATTAGCTCCCGGGTGAAAATAATTAATGCATCTTTCTCCCTAATTGATGTCATCTGTGGTCATTTGCCGTGTGTCGTTATCTTATGTTCGTTCTTCATCATTGATTCACCATCTTTATATAACTACCATTTCGTATAAGGTGGTTTAGACTTTTTATCATAAATTCAGTTATAGGTGTATTCGTTCTTTGCTATTTTGATTTGTGATTGAATTCTTGTTCTTTTTTTGCTCTATTTCATTGTACAGAATTCACTCGATTCTCAGGTTTATCCAGAGCATAATCTTGGAGTCCTCCTGGTACAATCTCTTTCTTCTCCTCTATTGTAGGTACATGCTTTCTTTGTTTCTTCTGCTCCATGAAAGCATATTTAAGTTGAAATCTTCATTTTTCACGCTGTTTGTTTTAATTTTTTTTGAGAAACATCCTATATCAGTAATTGTTATTTGTGTAAAGTTGTATGTAGGTGCGTTTGGTATCTAGACAGGACAAAACAACTGTTTGGCGTTTGGTAAGACAGAACTGGAAAGGACAAAACAAATAAAATGACCAATTTACCCTTAATGAGTTGTTTATATCTTTTACTCCCTTCGTCCCAAAATAAGTCTCCTCAATTGAAATGGCATATAGTTTTAGGCATGCATAATTATGTACTTTTGAAAGTGGATACTTATTTTGGGATATTGGTTATGTACTTTTGAAAGTGGACACTTAGGGGGCGTTTACCCAATTGCTTACCCGGTAAGCGCTTACCGATAGGAGTCAACACTATAATTTATTTTGGTGCGTAAGATTTTAGTACATCAAAATATATCGAATACAACAATTTAGTGGGTAAGCGCTTACCTGAGTAAGAGTCGTTATCCTCACTTACCGGATAAGACTCTCCATCATTCTCATCGCTCTTACCCGGTAAGATTCTTGGCCCTTCTCATGTTCATTCGATTAGGAAATTTATCCGGTAAGCACTTACCAAGTAAGTATTCAGTAAACGGCCCCTTATTTTAGGATAAACATAAATAGAAATACGGACACTTATTTTGGGACGAAGGGAGTATATATTTTGATGAATTTATTAACTTATAATAAAATAAATACCTTTATAACAAAATATATAATTATTAGTTTTTGTCAAGACAATTACACTAAAATAAAAAGTTCATGTAGTTTCTAATTTTTATTTTATACATTTTTTATATTATTTTATTATTATTAATGTTTAATAAATTACATAAATTGACCAAAATAAGGAACCCGTATAAAAACAATATTTTGAGGACAGGAAGTGAAAGTTTAAAGAGCATAAAATACAATATTTTTTTAAAGAATGAATAAAATGTGAAGACAAGCGTATTTGATGTTTTAAAAGAGAATTAGGTTTTATTTTGAGGTTATATTGTAAAATATAGGTCTCTTCCGCCCAAGGTTTTAAAGAACGGAAACGAGCCTCGAGGCGTTTTCCTCTTAGGTATGTGCGGCGTAAGCCTCGAGGCGGTCAAGGTGTAAGCCCCAAAAATTAATCAACAAAATTATAATTCTGTAACACCTAACAGAAAACATAACTTCATATCTCCATTCAAATAAACAAACTATAAAGGCCATGATTCAGAATATTTACACACATATATAAAACTGATTATGTACAAAATATATTAAAACAGATTATGTACATAAAACAAATTAGTCACAAGAATATGTACATAAATCAGAAAATATATATATATATATATAACAGATATGTACATAAAATAGAATCTTCATATATATATATATATATATATATATATAACAGATTATACCTAAAAACGACATGTATATACTAATATAGACAAAAGAGACACAGAAATCGTTGGAGAGGAGCAAAGAAGCAATCTTTGACTGTTTGTTGGAGTCCTGGGGAGAAGAAGTAATAGAAGTCGAAAGCCTAATTAATTTACTGGTTTGGTGTTGAATTGATCTGGCGTTTTTTAAAACAGTGCTTCCACTTGTTCCATGGGGTGGGGGTGGAACATGCCTGTTCCACTTTGTTCCACTCGGTTCCTGTCTATTTCACATAAAAGTCTTCCAAACGTGGAACAGTGATCTCTGTTCGGTCATGTCTAGTGTACGGAATGCACCCTTTAAGCCTATGTGATTATATCGGAAAAACGTTCAAAATTATTTATTTTAGATAGAAATCAACGTCTTTTATCTTTTCGGAAGCAGGTAACTTTTTTTGATATGTATGGGCGTAAGTTGAATACTTCTGATGTCGGCATATCTTGCAATGATGGAGGCACCTTCTTCTCTAAGAAGAGCAAAGGGTAGGGAATTACTCTGCTTCATTCCCCTTCTTTTCTGAATTGTTCGCTTACTTTAGGATCCCCATAGCTGCCTAGAAAGCATGCATCAGAAATTCATTTTAACGGGTTTCCCCCTAGCAATGTTTAGGAGTTCTTGACCTTTAATGATACTTTTTTACTTGCAGGTTCTTAAATGCAAACAGGCGGTCGCTAATTTCCATCCAGGATCCCCAGGTAACCTATCTAATCTTTCTGAGGGTGTGTTTGGTATGCAGGAAAATACAACACAAAAACTTGTCCAACTATTGGCACGACATTAGAGTGGTATAAAAATGAATCTTTTCGTCCCCATCAAAATGTGGAACAAAAATTAGGGAGATGGGGCGACATTGGTAAATTAAGGTGTGTTTGGTACACAAAACAGAAAGGGATCACTGTTCCAAGTTTCGGAGGATTTTTATGTGGAACAGAGTGGAACAGGCGTATTCCAACCCCACCCCATGAAACAAGGTCTAACAAACCTATGTTTTACGACCTCAAATAAAACCTAATTGTCTTCTAAAACATCAAATAACGCCTCTCTCTTTATATTTTATTCATCCTTTAAATTTTATTTTTTGTATTTTATGTTTTTTAAACTTTCACTTTACTATCCTCAAAATATTATTTTTTTACCGTTTCTATATTTTGTTTAATTTATTAAATAATAATAATAATAAAATAATGTAGAAAATGGAAAACTACATAAACTTTTTATTTTTGTGTCATTTTAAGCGACTTGTTGAAAACATTCTAATGATACATTTTGTTATAAAAAATATTTATTTTGTAAAAATTTAATAAATTATATAAATGAATCAAAATATATAAAAGATATAAATAGCACATTAGGGGTAAATTGGTCATTTTATCTGTCCCGTCCTGTCGAGTTTCGTCATAGCAAACGCTGAACAACTGTTTTGTCTTGTTTCTATCTTGCCTGCCTGGATACCAAACACACCCTAAGAGATTTCTTGAGCATTTCTTTTTTGATTTTTAGCTCTATCAAGTTATGATTTCAAGTTGGTTGCTAACTTTGGTTCTTTTGAAGTTATAGTTGATGTTGCTTTTGTATATTGTGATAGGCTCCGGAGAATGATATAGGAAAAAATTCTTTCAACTATTTCCAGGTTAGTTGGTGTTTTAACATTGAGTTTGTGCATTAGTTTAACGTAACGAAAGTGTTTTGACAATTACAAGGAAAAAACTGCTCTACTCTTTGAGGTGGAGGTTAGGTTTGATGTAGGGGTGTAAATGAGTTGTGCTTTTAACGAGCTACTCGAGCTCGAGCTTAATAATTCTCGAGCTTGAGTTGATCTCGAACACAAAATAAAGCTCGCTTAACTTAATGAGTCAAGCTTCATAACACCAATGTTCGATTCGACTCGTTCGAAAGCTTGATTAAACTTTATGAGTAGAGCCGAGCCATTGTAAACAAGAATCAAGCTCGACCATTGAAAAAATATTTGAGCTCGAGCCCGACTATGAAAAAGTCAATCGAGCTAGAGCTTGGTATTTTTTTTTCTGAGCCGAGCTCGAATAACCTGCTACTCGACTCGTCTCGTTTACATCCTAGGTCGGTGTACATCTCACCTCCCTAGATATACTGGGCTTGTTTGGTTCAAGTGTTGGACACTTGTGAAATGTCTGAAATACCCTTTGACAGATCAAATCTGCGTTTGGCTTGGCATGCTCAACGCTTACAAACACAAAACTGATCATGAGTCTAGACCCTAACCGGAGTATCCTTGGGACCATTATAAGACCCGATAAGGTGTTATTGGAGCGAAAAGGAGGTTTGAATGGTGATGTGACCTTCACCAACCTACTTCCCGGGGCAGGAGAGCCGTTGCAGAAAGACTTTGGCGAACACGAGGGACTTTTCTGTAATTGGAACCTTGACGACGAAGAAGAACCGTTGCCACGTGGGAAGGAGATCGTTGGTGCAGATGACGGTGGTGGTGCTATGGAGTCAGGAAAGAAGAAGAAGAAGAAAGCGTTGAAGGTGAAGAAGACCCTGAAACTTAAAAAGATGAAGAAAGTCACCATCAAGAAAAGAAAAAGAACGGCATCCGAAGGCGAAAGCTGATGGTTTTCGTCAACAGAGATGCGTTCATCGACTTCTGCAAGCGGAAATACCACCGAAACCGAAATCTTTGGCACCATTTTGAAGATGGGGTGCCTGCCCTAAATGGGGTTCATTCATACACTTGAGTTGTTGTCATTTTTTATATTCTAGGTTTATGATACTTGTAGACAATATCAATAGATGCATTGGTAATTATTTCGTTTTGTGGTTAGATTTAAGGTTTATTTGTATTCGTACAAGAACAAAAATATGCGATTTCCGACATTCGATAGTTTTTCGGATTTGGCAATTCGGTTTGTGTCCCACTTGAAACTTATGGTGACGTTTGTTTTTTAAGAGGTTCTGAAGTTTGAAGTCTTATTTCACTTTTAATTTATAAGAGGTGGTGCTGAAGTTTGAACTCTGAATCAATAAAACTGTTTATTTTTGTAAACTTATAAACGTCTGAATTTATTTAAATTCTTTATTTTCCCTATTAAAAATTATAGATAAATTTATACAATTTCATATATTTAGTCATTGTCAGTATGAAATTAACATTTACTTAAACGAAAATATGTTATTAACTGTGTTTAACACATTTACGTTCTACTAAAATACATTAACAGAGAGAGGTGAGGATTGAATTGATAAGGATAGATTGAGAGAAATGATCGATTAAGGTTAATTGATGGAGAAGCATCGTTGCTGAAAATTTGAAGAACAATAAGAGGTCAGTTTACCTCTTATTAGATAAGAGGAAAATAAGACATAAGTACCTTTGAAAAATTGGAAAAAACAAACAGTCTGAAAGACCTTACCTCTTAACGAATCAGACATAAGAGGTTGATAAGAGTTTTTTTTATGAAAAACAAACAAGACATCTGTTTGAATTAACAAAACCAATAGGTTTTCAACGATTTTAAACATAACTACTACGCGGTTTGGGTGAAAATCTTTAAAAATTTGAAAAATCGAGAAACATCCTGGTAACCATTCATCTGTGAAATTAATACACAATATTCATGTGATTGATGGGAATAATTATATCCAAGAATTTGGGACATGAAATTTTTATCTAAGAAATATAAAAACAATGTATTTTTTTGGGTGAACTCAATGTACCCCTACATGTTCTCGTGTGTATGATCGGATCTCGAAACGTTTCCGTAAGGATTTTATCCCTTGGGATAGTTGGCTGACGGCTCCGCTCCAAAATCCTAACTGAGCCTCTTGTTCCTTTCTGGTTACTCGTCGGTTCATTTGGTTCGATTGTTGGCGTTTGTGTTTTCACGTAATTTTATCTCCTCTTTTTTGTTCCATTCAGCTGTGGGTTGCTTATACTTTTGTGTGTTGCATGTCGTTGCTTCTGGGCCTCCTCGATTGCGTAAATTTTGCTTTTTAAAAAAAAATATATTTGCTGCTTTTAAAAAAATATATACCCCTTATAAGGGCAATATTATATACATTCTTTTAATGTCATAATCAGATCAAGTCATGAACTGTAAATGTAAAAAGTAGGTTTTAATGTTTAGGGCTGTGAGGAGAAATACACTAATAGGATACATAGGGTGCAATTAGTCTCCACTAAAATAGTGTATGGGGTTGTTTATCCGGATAAATATTTATCAAGTCATATTACCTTATCAAATGAATATGGTATGAACTAATAATCGTACCCAATTAAAACGAAATAAGTATCAAGAGTCTTACCCGATACGCAAATGATAGCGGTAAATTTTTGTTTTATTAAAAGCGCCTACGTGTCACTACCATCTTGTAGGTGTCGGACCAGTGTTTGACTAAGGAAATGATAACTTGTGTTGACTAAAGAAATGATAACTTGTGATCGAGTGTATGATTCATCTGTGCACACACACACTCCAGCAATGGACTTGAAGTCGATCTGTACTTCTTCTTCCTCTTCCTCTTCGGCTAAGTTACTACTTTTGCACGGTCTCGGCGTCGCCGTTGCTGTTGCCGTCGGTGCACATGCGTACAGTTATTACCGCCAATCCACCGCCAAGTTCCGTAGTCGGGTCGTAGGCATAATTCCTGCCCGTTTTGCTTCCTCCCGGTTTGAAGGAAAACCTCTTGTTATGATCCTCGGCAAGCCAATGATCCAGGTGATCAGTTCCTTCTCCTTAACACTTTGCTTTCGGTGATTGCTCAGTTTTGAATTTCTACTCCAGTTCTTTTGATTTGCATTTGAATTCTGCTAGTTTTATTCGTCAATTTGAAGTTTCGAAGAGCTAGGTTAGCTAAATCAATTTTGTGATTGAAGAAAGTACAACCTCTTTAAGAAAGATACACACAGATTCAAATCTGAAGTTGCATTTGGTTTTGCTCAATATGATTTAGCTTGCGATCTTCCATGAATCTGAATCTAAGAAAAAGCATGGATTGAACCAAATGATTAACTGATTTTTCTCACGATTTAGATGAAATTTTTCAACAGAGAACTTGGGAAAGAGCAAAATTGGCCACCACATTGGATCATGTTGGTAAGTCCTTGATTTCCATTTGAATTTGGTATTTATGATTTTTATAGAAATAAACCATTCTTCTTTGGTTTCAGATATAAAATGCTTCTTGTTCCAAGAATAATTACCATAAAATTGTGATTTATTGCTTAGAATCATATGTGCTTTTGTTGGATATACAAATTGCTCTAAAGCGTTTTATTTGCTAGATCGTAAATCTGGCATACTTTCTAGTTTCTACCCGTAATGGAAAGAGGTAGGCATCAACCATGATTTTGCCCCACTCTTCCGTACTAGTATTTTGTGGGTCCATTTAGAGCAACTTCAATGCTTTCCTTATGTTAGCTCTTTAACTATTATAGGCAGCGGCGGATCCAAATTTTTTGCTGAGCGGGTCCACCTTTAAGGTGGATCAGAGGCCAACAAAGTCGTCCGAGGGATTTTTTAAGTTTTTTGGTTAATTTCAAGGGGATTTATGGGTGTTTATGGTTGATTTCGAGACTTTTTCGGTTTCTTTTGGTTGATTTCGAGGGACTTTTTTGTTTGATGCTTCTTGTATTCCATAATATCCCAGAGCACCCCTCAAAGTTTAGCAGGTGCATCTTTTATATCCAAAAAGAATTACTTGCAAACATAGGTTGAGCGGGTGGCTCATAGGTCCGCCCCTGATTATAGGGAGTCAAATATGAAAAAACCTCACTCTAATACAATTGGCTTCCTACATTAATTTTCATTATCCCATTCCCTACATGCTATATTATTTTATTATTTACATATGCACATCATGTCATTTATTATTGTTTTTTATTCAAAAAGTAAAAAAAGTATTATTAAAACAATGTATATTTGTTAACATGTGAAGCATCGTTGGAGTAACAATGTATTATTTTGCTCATCACACTAATTTCTATGTATTTCACTCCCTACTTTAGCTTAAATGACGGGAGTAAGATTGCAGATGCTCTTACATGCATTAGAATAAATGAAAGGCAAATCTGGCTGTGGGTTCCTTTGCTCAATGTGAGGAGAATCGCAGACCATAATCTATTCTCGTATATATTCTCATAAATTGCGCATCTTCTCGTTTGAACCTGCCCCTAAGACTCGCAAAAATGAAGAACACAGGAAAATTGTATAAAAGGAAGACTCATTGGAAAACTTAATGTCCCCATTATTACCTTGAATTAAAAAAGAGGGATGTACCTTGTAGATGGTTCATGGTTATGCTTCTCTGAAGTTTTATATTTAGTGAACCAAGTGGGATTTGTAGCTTATTATAAAATATGCATCGTTTTGTTGTAGTTGTGGCAACCGATGATGAAAAGATTGCAGATTGTTGTCGGGGATTTGGTGCTGATGTGATAATGACAGCAGAATCCTGTCGAAATGGTAAAGAATTTTTGTTATTGAAAGCAAATGGATTTTGAAAACCTGTTTTCTTGTTGACTATATTGCTTCTATCAATTGCAGGTGCTGAACGGTGTAGTGAAGCACTCGAAAAGCTTGAAAAACAGTATGATATTGTTGTCAATATTCAGGGAGATGAGCCTCTTATCGAACCTGAAGTAATAGATGGAATTGTTAAAGCTCTTCAGGTAAGACTCAGTTTGTGCTGAATCTAGTGCTTCTAGTTTCTTTATAACTATATATTACCCTCCGTCCCAAAATAAATGTCTAGATTTCTATTTATGTTTGTCCCAAAATAAGTGTCTAGTTTAAAAAATAGACAATTAAATTCTCAAATCTACCCTTAATTAATGCACAAATATTTAAAAGTTGTGAGGAAAGATATATTAATTAAGGGTAAAGTTGTCATTTTGTTAACTACAAAGTGTAATAATTATCCATGTCTAAAAGTGTGTGCCATTTCCTACTGTGGACACTTATTTTGGGACGGAGGGAATAAGCTCTTATATTCTGCAAAACTCTCACACTTCTTTATCTTTGGTGAGATTTGAACCCTTTTTAACTCCCGTGAGGTTGGGCTCTATGATTAACTCGGGTACAATTGGCCCAATGACCCTTTGATTAGTGCTTGTAATTTGTTTGGGGGCAAATCTTCCATCCAACTTCAAATGGTAGGTATGGGTATTTAAGGTACAAGTGCGAATTCAGTTAGCCACCCATTCTGTATTTTGTGGATCCCAATTTCTATAAAGATTTATGTGCGTGGGGCCCACAAAACGTAGATGAGAATGAAATAAAGTGGGCTAACAAGTAGATCGTAAATTATGTTATCAAATGCTGACATAAACACGAGTTGGGTATTCAAGAATCTTGCATGGTGGCAAATGATAAAGAGAGTACTAAACCACCAATTCAAATGCCCAGGAGTGCTGTGTGGGTCAGCACTAATCACTGACCAAGTAAGAATCAGCATCTCGGTCAGCATCATGGACCAGTGAGAGGTGCTTGGTAAACAGCATCATCTCTGACCTGTAAGCACTTGTTACCCTATATTAAGCAGGTAAGCAAACAACCCCTTAGGGGGCATTTGGTTTAATGGAATGATTTTGAGAGATTAGCATTTCGTGGAAGAATTTGGATTTAGAGGGATTTGGATTTGTAAGATTTGAAATCTGTTGTGTGTTTGGTTTGTAGGATTTGGATGGAATTGCTTATAAATCATTTATAAAAAATAATTTATATTGTATTTTTATTAATTGATTATTACAAGACAAATATTTTTAACATATTTTAAAACATTATTACATACAAATCCTACGAAATCCCATGAAATACCAACCGCACACGTGGAATTTCAATTATGTTTATAGGCTTTTAAATCCAAAAAATCCTTCAAACCAAAGATGGGATTGGAATAGAATTCAATTCCAAATCCCTCTAAAGCCAATTTAATCCTACAAACCAAACGGGACCTTAGTACGCCACTTGGTGGCCCTTTTAATAGAATGGGGGTGAACTTTCTTAATGTTGGGAAGATGTTAATTCTGATTCTTGCAGACCACCCCTGATGCAGTGTTCAGCACCGCGGTCACATCCTTGAAACCTGAAGATGCATTCGATCCAAATCGTGTGAAATGTGTGGTAGATAACCGAGGTTATGCAATCTACTTCTCTCGAGGACTAATCCCTTTTAACAAGTTTGTATTCCCGCCATAAATCTGCTCACTTTCCGCAAATTTCATTTGTTACCCTCGATATCGTTATTGGCTTCAATTTTTTTTACCAAATTGCAGGTCAGGAAAATTCAATGGCAAATTCCCGTATAATCTTCATCTTGGTATTCAGGTACTCATAAAGCAGAATTCTTTGTTATTTTCCATTGTTATAAGGATTCTTCAGGGTTTGAGTAAGGGGCTTTTTGGTTGGTTTTCCATCAAGTCCTTAATGGATAAAGTTGTCCGTGTGAATTACTATACCTGAATAGATTGAAAAGGTTTTTGTTCGGGAGGGTTTCTTCGTAAATAGGAGGGGTGTTTTTTAATTGGAAGGGACAAGTTTGAATTTTTTTTCGCTTTCTACAAAAAGCTCTCCCCTAAAAGCTTACTGAATAAGCTTCTCTTTTATATCATTAAGCACTACCAAATAGCTGGCAGAATAATATGAGTCTCATTAAGCTGCAACAAACATGCCCTAACTGTTTGTAAAATCCGTCCAGAGTTACGATTCAAAATTCCTGAAGATATATCTGAATCTGGCTCCAACATCCCTGCAACTAGAAGAAGATTTAGAACAACTTAAAGTTCTTGAAAATGGATACAAGATGAAGGTGCATTCTTGTTCTTCTCTTTACAAAACAAACTTCAAACATAACCAAGTGTTTGATATCTTACTTGACGCAGTGCAGGTTATACATGTTGATCACGATGCTCATGGTGTCGATACACCAAAAGATGTCACAAAGATCGAAAGCTTTATGCGTGAAAGGAACTTGTCATAGTTTGAAGGTTGGTTTTGTTGTTTCTTGGTTCCACGTAAATCTTTATGGGTATAGATCAGGTCTACGTACATTGTACACCTCAAGTGGGATTGTTTCTTTCATCTTTGTTGTTCGATAAGCAGGCTTGCTTGATTAGGAAGTGTTTATATACTTTCGTGTGGTATGTATATAATTAGCATTCATAGTTGAAGGAGATTTGGCTTTCTCCTTGTCAAAGAAAGCCCTTAACAAACTCATCTCATTGTCAGAAGCTAAATAAAACCCCCATGGGAGGAACGTTTTACCAAACGCTTACCTGTAAAGTTCACCACATTTGCTTACCATTTTTTTTATTAACCTGGATATCCAACCCGCTATGCGAGCCGACTAATCCCAAGACGACCACCTGCTTTGCAGATGGCCCGGAGTCACAACATTTGAATCTCCGTGACCACAAGAGGATTTTTATTCCTCTTTGGATTTGAACCTGAGACCTCCAGGTATTTTTGACCTTTGGAACCAAGCTCAAACCAATTAAACACCACCTTTATGGTTCACATTTGCTTACCTTCTCGTCCATCAAAATGGAATGTAGATAAACATCTTACTCATAAGTGCTAGGGAAAGGAGCTGTTTGGTTGGTTGGTTTTCTATCAAGACTCGTACAAGTAAAGCAGCCCAGATTGTGCAGATTTTTGTTTGGGTTTAGGGATTTTTTTGTGGATAGAAGCATGTTTTTTAATTGGACAGGCAAGTTTGCATAAAAACTTGACGTTTTGCATAAAACTATCCCCTAAAAACTTGTTGAAAAAAAAGTCACTTTCTATATCCAAAACCGATTAGATTGGGACCCTTTGTCGTTGGTTAGTTTGGGAAATGTTAAACAACCCAACAGCATAACACCTTGTAACAATGATTCAACATGTCCATAACCCAATAACCAAAATAGATGTCAAAAACACAAGAGCACAAGGTCTTTTCACCATTTGCCCATAAGCTTAGAAATTGGATTATGGTGAAAGATGCTTCCGTGAAGAACTCCTGATGGGCACCAAAATTACTTCCAACTCACTATTTTTTGTTAAAACTCAAACGTTTTGGATTGATCACATCGATGCGGATGGCCATTATTTGTCCATCCTGTTCTTCAGTCCAACTAATCGCATCCTTTTCTAGCAGCTTACTTATCTGCGTTTATTAGAGGTATTAACCAGTAATTAATGGGATTAAAAACAAAAGAAACTGTTTGGTTTTATATAATATAATTGACCCATTCCCCCATAAGCCAAAATTTTCGGGGAACATTTTCATTTCTTGTAATTTTCAATTTTATCAAGCAAACAGCCCATAAGTCTAATATGAGACCCAACATGACACCTGCAAAATGATATATGAATCATGGGAAAGATGATGAATCTTACCAAGCTTTTACGAGCTTGTTGTTTTGTTATATCAACTTCGGTTCCCACCATAACCTTCAGATAATGTATGGCTGCAAAATACCAGCAAACAGAGACGAATCACATTGTTTACGACTTTCACAAGTTAATAGAAAGAAAGAAAGAAAGAAAGAAAAATGACGACCTACATGGTATGCCAGACATGGATTTCAATTGAGTTCTCAATAGACGTACTGCGTCTCTTGGTTCATAATCCGTTACGTCAATAGAAATTGATTCCCCATCGTCTCTGCAACAACAACCAGCATAAATAATAATACATCAAACAAGATGCAATTTAAGTATTAATCCGAGGAATGAATATACTATTAGCAACCATCGGAGCTATACCGAGGTGTGCAGAAAGTCATTTGATATTTAAACCGACCTATTTAATTAGAACGACCAACCATAATCGGATATCCAATTATAATTGGATGGGTCGGTTCTTGGATGGCAGTCCAGCATTCAATAAAACCGAACCGGTCCAATCTGATGACCATCTAACGACAGTCAAATTATCATCCAATGACCATCAAATTAATAACCATATATAATTATTAACATTTTACGATATTGTTCTTATGTATTGTTTTCTAATAACTTAAGAAAATATATAGGTTTTGGTTGAAATGGTGGATTAATCGGTTAAAAGTTGGATCAAGATATTGGATGAATCCAATCCAATCCAGTGGATGACCTATAGTGATATCCAATGAATGGAACCGATCCGATCCGATCCAATCATCCATTGGATTGGATTGGATGTCCAATGTTAGTTGAATTGGATCGGATGACAAAATCCAATATCCAATGGATGATTGGATCGGATGGGAAGTCCAATGTTAGTTGAATTGGATCGGGTGACAAAATCCAACATCCAATGGATGATTGGATCTGATCAGATCCACCTAAATCCATTGGATTTCAACCGATGAACACCCCTTATAGTATAGGAAGACGAAAGATAGGATTGGACAAAAATTGCAATTATGAAGAAATTATATAATGACGAAAGGGATGATGGGGTGTAAATTAATAACGACAAACACGTAAAGGAGAGATGTCTGGAATTTGGCTAAAGATGAAAGAAGAGAAAACTATGAATCTTTCTAAATCAAACAGATCAACCAAAGGGACTTTGGCCTAGCGGTATCTGAGTTACCAATAGAGCCTAGTCTCCAAATAGGTCAAGGATTCAAACCTCACCAAAGGCGAGTAGCGTGTGTGTTTATTTGTCGTGTAGAAAATTACCTGGTTTGAGTGAGGATTTTGGCAGATGTCTCATTTGCATCTCGAGCCTTGGCCATAAAAAAGTGTCCCTGCATGGCCAAACATATTTCAACCAAACAAGGAGCACAAACAATAACCATGCCAAATAGATATGAGAGAAAAGAAAAGAACCCATCAAGCTCAAAATATTTAATAAAGAAATTGGAAAACAAAAATCCAAGCATGGGTATTCGGCATTCATACCTCTTTGATGAGCTTATCTGCAAGCTCGTAGCTACCTTTGGCATATGCATCAGCAGCCTGCCACATATGAGAAAACATTAAAGATCACAAATAGAATATACAAACTACTCATTGTAAATGAGACCCGAAAGTTCCTGCTTACAGCTCTATAATATTTCTTCATTGTAATCCAGAACTCCATTGCAGCTTCCCTTAGGATCTCATAGTTATCTTCATTTTGTTCATTTCCTGTTCATCAAACGAGATGCATATTTTAACAATTAACAATCTGATCAACCAACATATTACAATTGTTTTATCCAATTCTTGATGAAATAATGGCTGAATTGAGGGCCGTATCAAGTCCACTCCACAAGTTCATAGCCATGTCGACCCATAAAAAAACTAAACAGTAAACAGAATGACGGTGCTCTTTCATCCCATAGCACATCTCACACATGTAAATGTCAAGCAAAAAGCACAAAACTCTTACTTAAAATACCGGTGATGCTTTCTTAACACATGCTATCCATTGGTGGGCCCATACTAGTCAGTAGTAACAACGACCTCTTTACCCTTGGTGTAGAGGGAAGGTAGGCTTACATCCTACCCCATCAGACCATACCTCTGCTACAGAATTTACCAGATCTGTCTGGTTTTGTTCGGTTTTACTAGTAACAATTTCTCTACCCAAAACTTCTAAAACAGTTGTTGCAACAGTTGTAATTTATTTATAAATAAATCTTTGGTGACTAGTTTCATAAGATATAATGTCAGAAAGCCTAAGAGTTGCATGCATTGTTGAGTTAAGACCTAAAGTAGGAGACCTTATCAGGATAGACCAAGAAGATGAAACAATTACATTCGGTGATGACAAAGTGCATGACTCGATAATATTCTAATAAGCAAACACATTACTAGAATAAATAAATCTTTTTCAAATGATATAACATAAGTCCTATAGTAAGAAGTAGAAGAATTGACAAGAAAGAGCAGGTTACGAGTCCTTACCGTCCCCGTTACCTTCCTTCTTTACAATCGGAGTCCTAAACTCAGTTACTCCCTCTTCTAAAGGTCCAGTTACTAGACCAAATTGTCGTGTCCTTGGTTCTCTTTTTGGAAGGATTTTTCTTGGTTTAACTTCAGATCTTTCAGGGACAGTAAAGAGGTTGCACAAAACTTCTTTTTCAAGATCTTCCCTGCCACTGTCAGAAACGATCAAGAAACACATTTGACATTTAGGCAATGATAAAAATAAAGCCCTTTTTTTCTAAATCAACATTTACACTTGAGGAATAGGACACAGAAAAACCGGAAGCTTCATACCTTCCTGAAGCGGTGAATTTCAGCTTCTCTTCACACTTGATGTCCAGATCTTGACGTGCATCAATAGATTTCTATTATAAAATAGATGATGGAGAAAATATGAATAAGAAAGCACGGAAATGAAAGCTCATAGTTGCCACAGTCGGTAAGTAACTAGCCCAATACACATAAATTTTAAACACATACATAGATTTCAATCCGAATCATACATATTGTTTTCACCGAACTCATACTTTCAGAAAGCATAAACCATTGGCTTGGTCCTTCTAAAAGATATTATCTATAAGCTAATGGTACTTCTCCTTTGCAGTTGCATTTTGTATGGTATCATCTTCAATTTTCAGTACAATGCCTTTTTTCCAGTCGATTTTATGAATAAGGCACAGGATGGTAATCATGAATAAATTATCAAAATTAAAAGAAGTCAACTATTTAAATTCTTTCTGATCTAAAAAAGATTCCTTTATGTGGAAAACATAATTCTCAAAATTTATTCCATGAAACGTAGATCTTACAGTTTGGTTGACCATGCTTGGAGTGACATCTTGCTGATCCAAAGTGGGGGATGACATGTCCATCAGTTTCTCCATACTCTGCATGAGCATATCAAGTAAGAGGATCATGGAACGCTTGAATAAAAACATAAAATGTCGCTATACAAACAAAAATATGAACATTGAAGAGAAGATCAAAATTCAAAACTTTATACCAACCAACTAAATTAAACAAAACCAGAGAGGTTTCACAAAACATCAAACTGCAATAAGCTACACGATCCAGATTGGTGTTAGATGTGTAATATGATAGCGCATGAAACATGTTTAATCATTAAAAATAGCTTTTTAACATATATACACACACACACTAATGGAACGGTAGGCAGAACTGTTTTTAGAATCTTATTAAAAGAAAAACAAAGATTTGACAGTGTCGCCATAGCATGAATCAAAACCCTCATTAAAATAGTAAGATAAAGGAAAACACCTCCATCAGATATCAAATGACCATCATTGTCACCACCACTAAAACATTTGAACTCATAAACACAGACGAATTCAGTCGATAACCAAACTGTTTAATGTTTGTACCGTCCCTGTTATCAGTAAACTATTTTTGTAGTTTTCAGAAGAAAAAGAAAAAACCTTACCCCTTAAGGATTTAAGTTGAACATAGATCGTCGCTTGAAATATTAGATCCCTAACCGTGTAAATATAATCACATAGTGGCTTAAGAGTAAGGGCTAATAATAAACTCCGTTCATCTATCTCATGGCTTCACACCACCACTCCAACCACCCGCTGTCCCGCCACCATCCTCTCTCTCTCTCCCCCTACAGAAACCACACTACCACTAATAACAACTACCACCAACCCACCATTCCCAATAACAATAAACACCATTGCACCATCCATCATCAAACACAAAAACATCATCTTATTTAAGGAATTTCTACAACGTATTTACAACCTATTTATCCATTGACGCCCAAGTTCTTCATGACAACTGTACTTTTAAATAGTTAGTGGAAATATGCTTATAGACTTCCATCCAAAACCAATTGGCAATGAGCGAAGTCACCCTTGGATCATATATATTGAAGCAAGATTTGTCAAACGAATTTGGTGCTTGTACTCTTAACACAAGCCCTCGTGTATTGAATAGATTAAGACCGTTGAAGCAAAAACAGAATGACTGTAAGCATGCACCCAAACTTGATTCCGATACCATGACAAGATCCTTAATGCTTTCCATATAAAAAACAATTGGCAATGTCTTGAGCCACGATGGATCATGTATGTTGAAGTAAGATGATGGGTCTTCAACTGTTTCACAAGTAGTTAAGTATAATATATTAAAATATTTAGCATCCACATGCATCCATTTAAAAGCATGAAATAGACACTAATGATTTTTACATGGACATCAATAACATGGGAACACCACTCTCATCTATATTATTGTATATTAAAAACATCTTAAATTCCTCCATTTTTGTTACTTGGGAGCTCTATTTTTTTAAAAGACAAGTGATCATTGTCACTAAAAGAAAGCTATGAAAGATATGGAAAGGCGAAGATAACCTACCTCTCGGACGTCATACCCACAACCACCTGCAATTTCAAAAAGCACGGCAACATGTTAACCATAAAGTTTGTATGAAAAAAATTGAAGGACAAGTCTTTGACATTTAGCCATGCATCTAACATTAACAATTAAAAAACCTTTGTAGTCAGATAATATCAAACCCATGCCCGGACCATCAACACACATGCACTGATTGAAGCAAACTAGAAGTGAGAAGATGAAAACTCAGGAAGACAAAAAATAAGCATAAACAACTAATCAACCAACACAGAACGATCTCTTGATTGTTTCTGAAGATGGCACCTTATCAATTAAATGTGCTTTCCACCTTATGTAGTAGGAGCAATAGAGAGAGAATTTAGTTTTGTCAGACTACTAAAAAGTAATAGCATACTAGCAATAACAAATCCATGCAATATATGCTAGTAAATGACACCCAAAAGCCTTATGGTCAAAAGACTCAGGTGACATACAAACCAGAGTGAATGTTGTTTAGATTTGGGAAACAATCTATCTTTGCCACAACAGAAGTAAAGACAAATTGAGGTCCGTTGACAATTTGATGAAGGGGAACCAGTTACAATCCTGAGACCAAAAAAGATAAAAACATAAAGGTAAAATGAAAAATGATTCAAGAGAGTAATCAAGCTGATGACAATAACTACCGACGATTATGTTATTTTTGCATATAAAATGACATCAATGAGGTTTTTGAGGATCTAAGGAGCTCTCTTTCCTCGTGAAGCAATTGGACTGTCACATTTTGAAACTGTAGATGACCTTTGGTTAGAGAATCATATTGGTCGATCCCAAGCTCAATTATAACCAACTTATCAACAAAGATGATAGAGTCCCGCCCGACCAAAAATTGACGATGTGAAAAGATAATAGAAGCACAATCTGGTGATTCTGCAACAGCACTTGATAATGGTCATTTGCTTCATGTAAATTCAAGTGATTGTTTTAGACCACTCAATGTAATATTAACATCTGGATAAAAAAAGTGTCCTAACATAACAGAACAACAATTAACACATCTTGGCAGAGTTTGCTGCACTGGGAAGAAAAAGGATTCCAGAGAATACGGGGGTCATCATCACAAGTTACAGAAACAAAGTAACAAGATGTCAAGGATGATTAATATTCTATGGACAAGAGATGAACTACTCTTTACATTAAATGCTTAACTATCCCAACCACAGAAATAATCACATACTGTTATTTGATCAAATACTCAAAAGCAAGAAAATCTGAACGATTGGGTTCTCACCTACAACTTCTTTAATTACTCCCATGTCTAATTTAAAGCCGTCCCCAAGCATCTTAAGAAGGAATTGTTCAATCTCCTTGTTCATAGTTCCTGTTGTTGCATTAACTGATTGTGGTTTCTCAACCCATATCTGAGAAACAGGAAACTCAGTTGACATCAACTTCACCGGTTTGGTAATTTCACGATATTCTTTAGTGGAAGGCCTTGATCTTCCATAGCCAGCACCAATTATGCCTGAAATGGTACCCACTGATATGCCAGAATTTTTTGGCTTAGATCGAGAAAGAACCTTTGGAGGTTCATTAATTGAAGTGGCTGACATTGTAGTATCAGCACCAGAAACTGTACCCACCGATATACCAGAGTTTGTTGGCTTGGGTTGAGACAGAATCCTTGTCTCATAAGACTTCCCCATAGGATTATTATCTGAACCAACAGCTGATTCACTGGTCAAATCATCCGTCGATATGGGTATATCATTGCTGGAAGAACTTCCCAGCATATTACAAATTATTTCGCTAGCTTTACGTAAATCATGTTCTGCTTGGCAATAAGCAGACGCCATGTCATTGATGGATATCTTTGATCCAAAAGCTTCAAACAACCATTCCAAGTTCTTGTCATCATCATTGGAACAAGTTGAACTGGAAGAAGGTCCATCCATCCTCGTCCTTTCAGGCACAAACAAGGTATAAGCATCATCATTAACAGTTTAAAGAAATAAGGACCTGAAAAAACTACTACTTGATTACAATCAATAACAACCAAAAAACTTCAAGTCTAGTTTTCTGCACAACGTTTTACACATATACAGATAACTTCTCTGTACTACCCCTAAGGATTGAAATATTCCTTCCAAAAATACCAAACTTAATAGTTAGGATTTTCAATCCCAAAAAGGCCAACTTAACTGTTTCATCCTCCTTGATCTAGCCTGATTTTTGCATGCATACACAACACAATCTCGTTTTATAACCATTTTCTTTTGTTACAATTAAGTTTAGTCAATAATCATCATTTGTCAATACATGTTAGCATATTGCATACATTAAAATGTACAAGCAATGCTTGTAAATATCTCTGGAAGAGTGATAAGTAGCAATGTACTTAACCAATAAGCATAATTTACATCTAACCCATCAATTCGCATTCTCGTATTTCGTAACTACAAATGTTCTTAGGAAATCTTTCACCGGTTAAAGTAGCATGCGAGTTTAATCACTAATGTCTATATTATTAGCAGAACCATTAATAACCCTCTAGTCAAACTAGGTCAGTTTTTGGCGGAACAGCCTGAACCCAATCTAACATCTTGAAAAGTAAATATAGATGAAATTTCACGCCATAAAAGCAAATATCAATAAATAACACAAATCAAAACCAAAATCAACACAATTTGCATTTCTTCCGATTGTTTTTTGCATTGTCATGTATCGAGAATTCTTAGCATCTTAACCTACTTGAACAAATAACCTATCGATGCAAAAAAAAATCATATTCAAAATCGTCTACTCTAACTACAATCCAACACAAAAATCAACAATACAGTAACCTAGGCAAAATCTACACACTTTACAGTGAATGTATACAAGAATTAACACTACTAAAGTGGAAATCATCGGCGGTACTTAAAAACAGTACGATATATAAAACGGTAGACTAAAAAGCTTGGATCTATATACATGGCGTTACAGATAATCTAAGCGATTGTTGAGAAAAGTTGAGATGTTTGTAGATTGATAATCGTCGTCGTGTTCGATGATGATGATGATAGTTGGGGGAGAATTTGGAAGCAGGGGAAACACTCTCCTTCTCTGAGAAACTTCCCTTTTCCCAAGAGAAGAGAAGGTGATCAATCCATCCAAAAACTTTTGGATTTCAATGTTTTATTTTATTATTTATTTATATCAATATAATACGAGATTTTATAAAAATAATGTATTTTTATTATTAAATAAAATGTAAATTTTAAAAATATCATAAAATTTTAAAAAAACATATATTAAATTAATTATTTAAAAGATTTTATTCGTATAATTTATTATTCAAATTATTTATTATAATTTAATTTTACGTAACAAAATAATTTAATTTAAGTTTAATAATCTAATTTTTTATAAAGTTAATAATTAAGTATTCAGTTATAACTTAATGATTATCTTAATTATATTTAGATTTTTAATATTTAAAATGAAATGTTTATCTTGTATTTGATTATATTTATAACAGTTAGTTGCATGAATTCAAATATGGAGTTTGGTTAAGTTATACTTACGCACAATTTACTTGTAATATTTGAAGTTTAAGTAATATGCATCAATAAACAGTACTTCATATATAAAAAATGGTTTTTAAGAGTTTTTGTCAAATGTTTTATAATATAGTATACATTATATAAAATTAATCATATCAATACACTTTATAAAAAACACAATATATTCAATCTGATTGGTGAAAATTAATAAAAAAAAATGCAATTTAGAAAAAAATACAAGGATAAAGATTAAAAATTGGAGATTAAGCAACATTTATAAGAATTTGAGGGTATTGTGGAATGTAGGAAAATATAAAACAATATTAATAAATATATTTTATAATTATTAATTTATATTTTTGTATGAATTTTAGCTTGTATGATTTATTAAAGCAGAAAAAAATGATTAAAAAACTAATAAAAAAACAATGATGAAAAAGGAATGTAGGCATGAACCTGGTTTTTGTTCAAGAACATGTTAGAACTTGTAACTGGACAAGAACCTATGTTTCACAATAGAAGTTCTTATAAAAATCCAACAGGGATCTCAACAAGAACTTCCATTTTGCATGCTCTAGTGCTTAATAGTCTCTTTAAGCACCTAGTACGTATGTTACATGTATGTAAAAACTTGTTTCGATCATTTCGAGAACCCTACAAGATCAGATGACTCTCATTCGAGTTATAAAACGAGATACATATCTATAAACGTTTTTCAGATGAATGCATGATGTGTGTTTTACACGTTTTGAACTCTTTAGCATGCCAAAAGAATGTATCGGCAAAGGAAAAACGTGTAGTTATGTACTAGATGTAGGGGTTGTTTGGTCGGTTTTCCATTAAGTTATGTATCGATAAAGGTGATTGTGTGGATTAATCTGTCTGTATGGATTGAGAGAGTTTTTGTTTGCGAGGGTTTTCCATAGATGGAACTTGGAAGAAGCATGTTTTTTAACAAGGGGTAGGTTCGGAAAAATCTGGTTTTTTGCATAAAGCTCCCCCTAGAGGCTTACTGAATAAGTCACTATCTATATCAATATATAGAGACTTCCGCTGCAAATGTTTAGTTTAAAGGTGATTTACGTTCATAAGATAAGTCAAGTAAGCACGCAATCACACTCTAGTACGTACTAACAAGTACATGATACAACATTCTCAAAACTCGTTCACTATAATTGACAAAAACAATTGATTAGAACAACCAGAGTTCGATAGCCAAACTTCGGTTGTTCTGATTTTATTTGCTCAAAGGTCTACAATCAATGCAAATTCTGTTGTAGAAAAGCCGAAAATGGTGCAAAACAACACAAAAGATTGTGCCTTTCCTCGATTCAGCGGGGAAAGTTCCAATCTTGATTGTTTTCTTCGTATCGTAAAACGAGGTTTATGTCTACATTTACAGTCATGTAAAGTATCAAATATCATTATATAATTCCGTTCCTATAGATTTGTAACCGATCACTACCTCAACATATTAACACGAAAAAACTATAAAAATGTCGATATTTTTTTCATTCTCGCGGAGAAGGCAATGACGATGATCTGGTGATAATTTCTGGCACAAAGCTTGGGGAAGCCGAAGAAGACACGGAGGCGCAAGGTCGAAGGAGCGGTGTACCGGCCCGACTTGAATTTTCATTAGCAACAAAAGGGGAATCACCGTTAATTATGATGCTACGCGGTTGTAACTCGATTTCAAGACCCTCACCAGGCATCATTCCGGCCCGTGGACTATCGAGATCGTGGTGGTCGAATTCCTCTACGGATATCACAGTGCTCGTGTCAGTGTGAACGGTTGAATCATCGCCATACATGCCAAGCCTTCTTCTCCTCCGTCTAGCTTCCTTTCCCCATCCATGGATCGTATCTCTTATTCTCTGTGGAATCAAAGCCGCCTTGTAATTTGTACCCATCTGCAGAACATGTGGAACCCATCAGATTACTATCCAAAATAGCCCTTATATAGAGGGGGGTTTTCTATATATATATATATATATAGGTTTGATTAGTTCGTGTCTAGCCGATGTTGGACTCTAACATGCCTCCTCAAAATGGTGGCTCTGATATAATGTAAGAATATATGAAACCCCATCAGATTACTCTCCAAAAAAGCCTTTATAGAAAGAAGAGAAGTTTCTACATATATACAAGTCCAATGGTCCATACCTAGCTAATGTGGGACTCCAACATGCCCCCTCAAACGGAGGCAGAAGCATGTTGAATCCCTAAATGTGGTAGACTCTGGCTCCGATAACATATGAGAATATGTGGACGCTATTAGATTATTCTAAAAAAGAGTCCTTATATAGAGACAAAAGATTCCTACATACATACAGGTTTGATGGTCCGTGCCTAGCGCCCTAGCCGATGTGGGACTCTGACAAGCCCTCTCGATAGAGGCAAAAGTGAGTCCCTAAATGTATCCTCCAAAAGAGCCCTCATAGAGAGTTATCGTACTCAACATGCTTCGATGGTCTGTACCTAACATACAGGACTCAAAACACTCTAACTAAATTCATAAGAATCTCCGGTATCTCTTTCATGAATACAACTACAATCTCTAAAAGCCAACGTTCTTTTTGGTCGTAAATCATACCTGGGTAACGAGTGCATAAAGTGGTAGGGTGCTATAGCTGCATAAGAACTGGCCGACAAACCTGGATAACAGAAAGACGACAAAAGAATAATGAATGATGGCTCGTGAAAGCAATACATACGAAATCCAATTAAGATCAAACCGAATGAAACCTTATGCATACCCCAAAATCAGCCGGATATACACGAGCATATGGTTCTTGATAAAACAAGAATTATAGCCGAATTGCCACTGTAATAGAACAACATAAACCTTTATATAACTCAACTTTCAAAATCAAAATGTGGTTCTGAAATCAAGTAGAAAAAAATTTACCCAAAACCAAAAGAACGAAGCTAACTCAAATGCGTTCTGCATTGAAATCGATCACAAGTTAGAAGCATGAAAAACTAACGTTTAATGTGCAAGAAGATCTTCAATAAGAATACGATGCTAACCTGGAAAAGAATAAAATGGATTAAAGAGAGCAACAGTTCCGGCTTTTTAAACCAGAAAAGTTCATCTCGAGGCTTTAACCTTGTTTCAGCAAAATATCCGGTAATTCCTGCACTCTCGAGTGCCAAAGTAGCGATAACATGTTGCAGTTTTGTACCCACAAGTAGAACAAGCTGAACATAGACACATATCCGCCATCAGAATATTCACATGTGAATAGAGCACAATCAACACTCTTGATAGGATAAGAATGAGTACTTACAGTGATCGGGATAATGGCGATCCAGAAATAAAGATTTGATCCTGCAAGCAAGATATACAAGTTTGATTAATGAAGTTCATTTGCCGTTCTTCAGTATTCAGAATTCGAGAAGTAAAACAAGTACCTTTGATATTAAAGAGCATAAAAGCCACAACAAAGCCCCAAAGTGGGCCACTGCAGAAAACCGAACAAGCAAAAATTTCACCAACTTCCTTGACGGTTATAATATTCATAGAACCAACGAATAAAGCCAAGCTAACAATTGGCAGATCCCATCAGAAAACAAGAAGATCCCGTACCTTACTCCAACTATTCTTTGGAATTCTTCTTCCATAGAACGAATCATATAACTGTGAAAATCGTATTTTGACGTGAGGTGGTGGTTCTGCCAGGAATAAGAAAAGCAAACAACCGTGAACAATAATTTGAAGGTACATAATTATGAACGAGCTTATGGCATAATTCAACCTAAAACATGTAAATTACAACAAATATAACTCAATTGCCAGTTATTTCATTTAAACTCGACACACACACACACACATATATAGATAGATAGATAGAGTGAGGTTTCGGGGAGAACCCCAAAAAACGAAAAACTAAGTAACGCCCTAATAACCATTCATATGTACGGAATGCACATATGCATACTTGACAAATTACTTGTATGCAACTATGCATATCGTACATGAACAATTACTAGGGTCTTCTTCAGATTTTCATTTTTTGTGGTTTTCCTGAACCTGATAAATCTACTACATAAATTAGTGATTTGGGTTAGCTCAGTGTTTCGTACCATGATGAAGGCTTTCCGCAGGGTAAGGTAATCTGCACGAACAACAGAACGCCCAAATTGCCGAAAGAAACATATCTGTAAAGCAATTTAAATCAAATATGTGTGTGTGTGTGTGCTGCAACACAATTTCAAGTTTACATTTGTATAGAATGAAAGAAGCTAGCAATGCAAGTGAAGCTGGATGGCCAGTGTACCTACCATCCAAGTAAAGCAACCATTTCTAACCAAAGGATTGGATGCGTGGAATTTGACCATAGTTGACTGTCTCCGCATTGTCTCATTTCTTGATATTTCTGCCATAAGAAAATAAGTTAACGAACAACAAACCTATAACGTATTCTATTTTATTATAACAATTGGAGATTATCAATTAGATATAGAGGTTTGTATGTAATACCAGTTAGCACATCATGCCGATCCACTTGAGCCTCATCTTCCCATTTCCTCCAACTGTGGATCTGGCGAGATTACAACAAACACGGATTTAACAAGGCCATCAACATGTTATAAATTCATATCTTTTTCTCATTTAAACAAAGCCAGTTAGACTACGGCCCTGTTTGTTAGCAGCTTAATGAGCTTATTGGTATTTAGTTGCAACTTATTCTGTTAGCTATAGATGATTGTTTGGTAGAAGCTTAATGATATAGAAAGTGGTTTATTCGGTAAGCTTCTAGGGAGAGCTTTATGCGGAAAACAAAGTTTTTCCAAACCTGCATCTCCCAATTAAAAAATTATGATCCTTCCACCAATGAAAAAACCCTCCAAACAAAAACTTTCCCAATCTATACAGACAGATTACTCCACACAAACAACTTTATCCATACAAAACTTAATGGAAAACCAACCAAACAACCCGTAAGTAGGAAGAAACAACGCAAAACAACAAACTATTTCATATGCAATATGGTGTGGCATGTAATCTAAGTGATGAAGACAATTGGGCATTCGACAAGATACTTCAACTTCTTTATAATACATTTGATACAAGAAACTACGGATTTAACCATAGTAAAGACTCGTATACAGTTGTTTAGACCCAATCTTTCGCAACAAATTATAAGCATTTGACAATGGCACATAAAGATTCCTCTGTATTTTACCATTTCAAGTTATGTTTTCAATTAACTTGCATAGTGCACGACTGGTGGCTCTAAAAGTTTTAATCTTTTTACATTCAAGGAGGGAGGCTAGTAAGCGGGAACGTGAAAAAGAAGTCAACAATTAAGAGTAAAGATAAGTATGTAACCTTCACTACAGCCAGAAGCATCGTTAAACAGCTGTAAGAGACGTGAGTAATTGCCATAACAAAGATAAAGCGATGCAGTTGCTCAAGGCCTTCGTATGATACAAAAGGCTCGTGATCCTGTAAAGTTTAAATGAAAAGACAAGTCCTAAGATCACCCAGGTGCATTGAATGAATTAAAAGTTTAATGGATATACAGAAAACATTAACACGATACAAGAAATGTACATTAACATGACTCACCTTTTGACAGGTGTTTTCATTCAATTCATTCAATACCCTCCTAACCGAATGAGGATTAACGATCATTAAAAGTTTACGTTTGCTATTTTCCATTTCTTCGTCAACCTCAGACCCGGTGCATGGAGCAAATGCACTATTATAATACTTTGATGGGATACAAATATTCGATATAATGCTAGACGTGGCTGTAAGAAGGAGAGATATGAAGCCAAGAAGCATCAACTCTGCACACAAACAACCAAATAATGACAATCAGAATGGTGAATGCCATATGAAGAGTTTTAGATTTCTTTCAATCGGTTCCCTATATCAAAATACCTTCTTTCATTTTCTCCACCGCAGCAAGCAATGGCTTGCGATTTGTTTTCTTCAACCACTGGCATATCAATACAAAACGTCAGAAACAAATAAAACCTCTTCCACCTTGAAGTATGCACATAGAAAGACATAAAGAAGATTCAAACCTAAGGGTGCATTTGGTACCCAGACAAGACAGAACAAGAAAGTTCTTCGGTGTTTGGTAAGACAGGGCCGGACATAATAGGACCGGTAAAATGACCAAATACCCCTATGAGTTGTTTAGTGTTTTCTTTTTACCAAATAATCAATCTAAATGAGAATTAACAAAAATATTTAAAAGGGAATTAGGTTTTAATTTGAGGGTATATTGGTAAAATATAGGCTTGTTCTAGCTTGTTCCATGGGGTAGGGTTGGAACACGCCAGTTCCACTTTGTTCCTATCTTTTCTACATAAAAGTAATGCCAAACATGGAACAGTGCTCCCTGCTCTATCCTGTCAAGAGCATCAAACACACCCTAAATGTACATACAAGTTCCAAAGGACCTTTCAAGATTCTGTGTCAAACTAGCTGTCAAAGGCATTACACAAGAATACAGTTCTGTCCATGATCACACAATCACAATACTAGATAAAGATACATATATTGAACACACTTTGATTAAGCACGAAACAACATCTCAACATGGTGTTATTGAGCCAAAATCAAGAATGAATTTGACTTGATCTTGATGTTCAAAGTGGAATACATACCTAAAGAATCACAATTGAAGATATGAAACCAAACAATTAGAAACAACAACACTTACATTGCTTAAACGATGAATTGATCGCTCAACAAGCAAGGAAACAACAACAAAGATGGTCAAGACTGTAGCCACAGACCATGTTGGAGTCAAAGCCAAAGATCTTGATTCTTCTTTAGCATCCTCGGACGACATTTTTCAACAAATTCTATAATTTAACCCAATTTTTCCACCACTCTAGTACGACCCTCTTTGTAACTCCTTACCACCAAACCTCCAAAACACACACAACATCTAAAACCCTTTCTTTCCTTCTTCTATCCCAGAGTAAAGAAGTCTTGATTACTTGAAACCCACCATCACTGGCTAATCCAATGCAATAGTTGTGTTTTTTTTCTTGAATATATGTACAACCAAAAGTGATCTCTCTCACACACCTTTCGTCAAACAGGTCGTGTGCTCACAATAATGAAACAATACTCCAAATACGAAACCCCCCACTCCCCTTAGAGTTCACTAGTAACATAAAATTTACAAGTAAATACAGTGCATTTCTTGAAACAAATCAAGATTCGTAACTTTCCAACTCGATCTTTTATCTCTACCTTCTTTGTATTTGTATCAAGATTTGAAAGATTCAAGACAAAAATAACTTTCAAACGAATCTTCACTGGTTCCAAGATACCCAACTCTTTCTTTTTTTTCACTCTGTGAAATTAAAGAAATAAAAAAAACACCCCAACTCACCTTTCTCGCTGTAATAAAGAAATATACAAAGTACGCTGGGAGACGAATGATTAATACATGATTGGGGGTTTTTCTTAGCAACTTCTCAACGGAGTCAATAATCCATCCAACTGGAGTCTGAATGATACACCTTCACACCTCTCTTCCCCTTCCGCTTCTCTCTCATAATACACGAACTCATAAATACGTAAGAGAGAATTGCGGGCCGCTCCAAATTTGTGCGTAATTGGCGGAAACGACGTCGGTTGTCGCCAGCATTTTGAAAAAGGGAAAAAGGGTGAACGCTAGTATTTAATAACAAGTTTGGTAATATATTTAATCAAGGTGGGACCACCAGGTTTATTTTAGGAGGTGTTTGTGGTTGCTTATAAAAGTTGTTTTTTAATTTATTTTAGTTTGACAGTGGTGATAAGCTATTTTTTGGTGTTTAGATAAGAAAAAAAACAACTTATACCGGTGTCAAACTGGTAATAAGCTGTTTTTGATAAGTTAATTCTTCATGACTTATAAAAAACTGTTTATTACCAGTTTACAATTTTAACCTTGTTTTATTTAACTCCGGTTTAATACCACATAAGTTAATAAACACTTTTACAAAAAAAAGCCTAAGTTGTTGCTCAAGGGTGAGGTCTATAGGGTGTAAATGAGCTGAGTCGAGTTGAGTAGTAGGTTATTCGAGGTCGGTTCTAAAAAGTTGTATCAGGTTCGATTCGGCTTCGAACTCGAATAACTTTTTTAACATGGGCTCGAGCTCGAACTCGAATATTTTTTAAGTTATGGAGCTCGAGCTCGATGCTCATTTATGGGCTTGTACCCACGATCAATTAACTCGTTTATTGGCTTGAGATTGATGATTTATACATTTTTATTGTATTATTTATGAACATATGAGTATGTTTGACTCGAAAAAAAGGTACATGCTCGAATGCCTCAACTTGACTATAAAGTTTTAATCGAGCTTTTGAGTAAGCCGAATCGAACATTGGTTTTATGAAGATCGGCTCGTTAAGTTAAACGAGATCTATTTTATGTGGACAATTATTCTATGACGAATGGATTGGAGTCGAGTACGAGACTTTAGTGTAATAGTAGACTATTTTGACACATACTAAGGACTCCATTTGTAAAATAACTTATTGTGCTTTTATTCTTGCCAATAAAACTCCGGTTAATCTAGACCTTCTGTACCATCGAAACGTCGTTCTAGGCAGATCCCGCTCCTAAACATAAGGGATAGGGGTCTTGGACACTGACCTACCATATCAAAAGGGTCGTAGAGAACCTAAAGCACGAAAGAGGCTACAATGAAGCATTCATTTGGGACTGTGTTGGCAGTTGCTGAATGGTTTACTCCAGAATGATTAAGTGGTCAGAATGATTAAGATCTTCTTATGATGTAGTGCAAAATAAAATATAATTGTTTGGTAATTGTTCACAATAAAATTAGGTCGTTGAATGGTTAAAGGAGGCCTAAGATACAAAATCATTCAGATGATTTCAGAACCATTACGAGGCATAATTTTTTGTGTCAAACAAGATTCACCTCTTAGCGATTCAGCGGTTATTTCTTAATGGAACTATTAAAAAGTAAACAAATAATCTATTTATATTTGAAGTAATGAGAGAGTCTCTTTTTATTTAGACAAAGTCATCATGCTCCTTTACCAGCTGAACTACACACCATAAGTTATACTTTTTATATTAAAAAATTGCAAAATTTGTTATAAAAATGTGTTGACTTTTATGATAGTCAACATAGCTTGTTCCACAGCTCTGCCCCCCATATGATCAGTTGCTTTGGGGATCTGAGATGTATATCATCACTTATACACTCTTTATTTTATTGGTTTTTATTATAATACTATATTTAACCATGTATTTGCACAATCACATGTGCATTTGGAAAGCAATGTATCATGTTAAAACATACCAAAATAATATAAAAAGATTTAAAAATTATATCAGAATTTTAATTCGTAACTGATAATGGGGAGAGGACCGAAACATACCACTAAAAGGCTCTACTGAAACAAAGATGGGTTGTCAAGAACGTAGATGAGGTAGGATGGACAGTTGGTCAGATCTAGTATAGATCGTACATGGACGGTAGTTGGAGTCGGTGGCTCTCTTAGGGTTCCCTTATCGGGGATCCCTGGGGAAGAGGATCAAGTTGACTCTTGTGAACATCTTGATGCACTATCTCCCTTTAACCCTTTGAGCAGAATGCGGCAAAAGGAAGAAAAATCCATGGATCGACCCCATCATCTCCACCCCATAAGAACTACGAGATTACCTCAAGAACGCTTTCCGCATCCAGAGGTCATGTACCGATCATAGAACCTTATTCAATAAGGGGAACACATTAGTTGTTTGCTGCCAAGTTGTATAAAAGAATAAAAAGAATTTGTGAATGTATCGTAATTACAAAGTAGACATAGCAAACAGGTAATGATAATTGAAACTATTTCATATCACTGACTCTGGAAAAAAAAAATAATGTTACGTAATTACCAAAATACCCATCACATTGAACAAATGATTGAATTTAACCGTCTCATTTGTATAAATGCAATAAGTTTTAGGAATACTGAAAAGTGTATATGTTGTCATTTGATGAGTGTCGTCATAAGCTACGGAAAACCCCACTTGGACTTTGCAAAAAAAATAAGAAACAATTATTTGTCATTTCAGTGAAATCATGCCGTAATATTTCTAGCTTGCACGAAATGTAGGGATGTTTTAGACTACCAGTAAAGTGTATTATAACGACAATTGAATCGTCTATCATAAATCTTAGCCTTGTTGCCTCTTATTATTGTTAATAAGGGGTGGTAATTTTGTATTGAATCAAACCAACCAACATGTGTACAAACTGTACCAATTAAAATGGTACCACTTACTGTTGGTTGGTATTATCGTACCAAATAAATACCAACCAAATATATAAACTTGGTTGGTATATGGTATTGGAAGTTACATACCATAATAGTATTGTGGTACCAACTTATTTATTTTTATTAGTCTTTGTACTTTTATATATTGAATATTAAACATTGTAATTTTAATTGTTTTATTTGAACATTTGAATATTTGCAAATTTTATTCCTTGCAATTAAAACTACTTAAACATCACATTTATTACATAGAAACTCAAAATGTTACTTAAAATTTGAACAGAATGACAAGTTTTCATATATGTAAGGTGAAGTTGGTACAAAACTAGTACCAACCGAAAAAAATTAGTATCAATTATAGTTGGTTGACATATTATACGATATAATATTTTGCATACAAATTATAATTGGTTGGTACATAATATTGAGAAAAATAAACTTGGTATTGTACAACAGAAATACAAACTAGCAGAAAATCGATAAAAACGTCATTTTGTTTTACACTTGAAACTTTAACATCCCGTGAAGGTAACATTCACGGTGTTTTTGGCTTTTTTGCTGTGTATGTTCGGATTTTCTTTACTTTTATAATGTTTTATTGTAAAGTTTTAACAGTGTTTTTGATGTTTAGGTTTAGATTTTGTTTATCTTTAGAATGTTTTGCTGTATGTTTTAATGTAAAATTGTGGCCTTATGGATTTCATAAAAACAAATTGGTCCCCATAAACCCTAGCATGCATACATATACATATATACACATACATACATACATATATATACATACTATATATATAGGGAAGGGTTCAAACGAGAACCCCTGTGATTTACGAGAATGCAAGAACAACCCAAGAACCACATATTGTGATAAAAAATAAAATTAAAAGATTTTTAAAATTAAAATTGAAATTTAAAAAAAAATCAGAAAATATTAAAATTAAAAGAGTAATAATGAAAATGATATCATAAAATCTTTTAATACGATTACACGATCATGATTATCATTATCTAATAAACGGTTAATCATGTGATATGGGTGTGATAATCATGTGATTATCA